ACACTACTTCGAACTTTAAGTGCAACCATGAAATTATTACAATAACTGTCCTGGCTTTAGACAAGGGTTTCTCTCTGCCTATTCTAAATGTACTTCTGAGACTGGAGCACCTGCAGTCCAAACGCAGTGTGTTTTATCTCCGAATCTGCAGAACGTTGCATCCAGGAGATATTGGTTGAATGAATACACTTTTGTGTATTTTTAAAGAATTTTTCCAGATGTATTTTTATGGCGTTGTAATCACAATATCCATTTCATGTTTTCTAATTTCTGTTTACTATTTTATTATTAGTTTACACATATTTTTTTGTGTCTGCAAAGTAATCTATTTTGTATGGATAAACTATAATTTCATTATCCATTTCCTCCTCATTTTCAACATTTAAGATTCTCTCAGTTCATCAGAATAATAAACAAGACATTCATGAACATCTTTTTAAGTAGCTTTTTATGTAGTTTAGGTTATTCCAGTAAGGTGGTAAGACTTCTTTTTTTTAATTTTTATTTTATTGATTATGCCATTACAGTTCTATTCCTCCCTTCATTCCCCTCCACCCTGCACCTCCCACCCCTACCATTCTCCCCTTTAGTTTATGACCATGTGTCTCAAGTTCTTTGGATTCTCTATTTCCCATACTATTCTTGCCCTCCCCCTATTTATTTTCTACCTACCATCTATGCTACTTATTTTCTGTACCTTCTGCCCCCTTCTCCTCCCACTCCCCTGTTGCTAACCCTCCATGAGATCTTCATTTCTATGGTTCTGCTCCTGATCTAGCTGTCCTTTTAGTTTGCTTTTGTTTTAGATGTGGTTGTTAATAACTGTGAGTTTGCTGTCGTTTCACTGTTCATCTTTTTTATCTTCTTTTTCCCTTTAACATTAACATAAGTCCCTTTAACATTTCATACAATAAGGGCTTGGTGATGATGAACTCCTTGAATTTGGTCTTATCTGAGAAGCACTTTATCTTTCCTTCCATTCTAAAGGAAAATTTTGCTGGATAGAGCAATCTTGGTTGTAGGTCTTTGGATTTCATGACTTGGAATACCTCTTTCCAGCTCCTTCTTGCCTGTAAGGTCTCTTTTGAGAAGTCAGCTGACAGTCTGATGGGAAGTCCTTTGTAGGTGACTGTCCCCTTATCTCTTGCTGCTTCTAGGATTCTCTCCTTCATTTTAATCTTGGCTAATGTAATGATGATGTGCCTTGGTGTGTTTCTTCTTGGGTCCAACTTCTTTGGGACTCTCTGAGCTTCCTGGATTTCCTGAAAGTCTATTTCCTTTGCCAGATTGGGGAAGTTCTCTTTTATTATTTGTTCAGATAAGTTTTCCATTGGTGGCTGTTCCTTTCCCCCTTCTGGTACCCCTATAATTCAGATGTTGGAATGTTTAAAGATGTCCTGGATGTTCCTAAGTCTCTCCTCATTTTTTTGAATTCTTGTTCCTTCATATTTTCCTGTTTGGTCATTTTTTTCTTCCTTCTGGTTCACTCCCTTGATTTGAGTCCCAGATTCCTTTTCATCACTATTGGTTTCCTATGCAATTCCCTTCATTTCAATTAGTTTAGCCTTCAAGGTGGTAAGACTTCTTGAGCAAGGATTGCGGGGGACATCATTAATATTTCCCAACACCTGTCTCTCTGCTCCTTTGGGGCATGCAGAAAACTTCATTTCTCAGTTTTCTTGCCATTGGGCAGGGCCATGGGACTAGTTCTGTCCATGCAATGTGAGGGGAAGTGACATGGGAGCCCTAACTCTCTACCAGCTAGAGGTAGGTATGTTGAGTGAGCAAGAAGTGAACCTTTGTTATGGCAAACTACTATGATTCCACAGTTAATTTGTTACCATGGCTAACCTGACCTATCCTGACTAATACATAGACTTTGAACTTTATTATGGATGAAAGTATATATTGGATAATTGCACAATGGCTGGCACATAGTAGGTACCTAATAAACATCTGTTAAATGAGTTAATGGGACTTGTTGCCAATAGTACAAGAAAATACAAATTTTATTGCTATATTAACAGTGATGGGTTTATTACTTGATTGTTCTTGTCAGTTTAATGGGAAAAAATATTGTCTTGGCCAACAAGAAATTGGCCAGTGTCTTTGCTTTATTGGTAAGGTTGAGCATTGTTTCATCTGTCATTAGCTGTTTTTTGTGTGTGCATGCATTATTTGTTCAAAATCTTTCATTCCCTCTCAGCAACTATTGGTTGAATGCCTTCACTGTTCTAGATACTAGGGCAGTGGTGGTAAATAACCTCACTATTACAGAACTTTTATTCTAGGAGGGAAGAAAAATGGCATCTCAATGCTTAAATATTTTAGGTAATGGTATAAGTGCTTTGAAAAATAAAGTAAGGTCAGTGGCTTAAAAATAGACTGGGTGTGTTCAGCATAGGGTGGCCACGCGGCATCTTTCTGATAACATCGCTTCTGAACAAAGGAAATGAGCCTAGAAGGTATTAGGGAGAAGGGTGTTGCAGGCCAAGGGCCCGCACACACAAACACCTTACGGCAGGCAGGGGCATGCTTGGTATTTGGGGGATGTAGCAAGAAGCCAGTCCGGCTGAAGCAGAGTGACGGGCAAGGAGCAGGAGATGAGATCGAAGATATAAGAAGCTAGAACATGTAGAATCTTCTAGGCTGTGGTTGTCTTCTGACTTTTCTTTGGAGCCACCAGGGGCTTCGGAGCTGAGGAGTGACATGATGTGACCCTACTCACAAGGATTCCTCTGGCTTCTCTGTAGGCGAGAACATAGGGGAGCAAGTAGGAGGCTCTTGTCATGTTTTGATGGAAGACGATGATACATTAGACAAGGGTGACACTGTGGATAAAGTGAGAAGGGGTCGGATTCCAGCTATATTTTGTCATAGAACTAATAGGGTTTGATGATAAACTGGATCTGGGAATGGGTGGGAGAAATGAAAGATCAAGAATGTTCCCAAGGTTTTTGACTCGAGCAACTAGAAAGATGTAAATGCCATTTACCTTATGGCTTCATTGAAGGACATTTTGGTGTTTTTAAGGACTCTGGGAAAAGCCATGTCAGAAGTGGAAGGAACAATGTGCTGCGGTGGACGTACCGCTTCCTTCCAGGTGCAGGGAGGGTGTGGTGGTTTGAGAGCACCATGGTCTGAGTGGGACCCCAGCAGCTGTGAAGCAGCTCCTGGTGCCTTCCCTGACTCTCCTTGCCATCTCCCTTCCACTTCTGGAAGCGTAGCTGTCTCCGTTGGCATCGCCAAGGTACTGAGTGGCATGCAGGTGTGCATGCTGTGGAAGCCAGAGGAGCTAGAGAAGCAGAGGAAGGTGGTGCTCTTCCTCCTGGGTGCGGGAAGAGGGCCAGAGATCCTGGTAGGTGACATGGGCCAGTCTGGCCCAGACCCCATGCCACCTTTGTCAGGACACAGCCCGACAAGGACTCCAGCTATGCCCTCTGTGGCCCAGCCTAGGAGACAGAGAAGAGCAAGCAGCAGGAGCTGGTGCTTATCATCTGAACCCTGAGTCTGCACCTATTAAGGTCAAAGTGATCTGTGCCAGCTCCCACAATGCCATCAAGCAGAAGCTGAGGGGGATTGAGCATGAATTATAAGCAAACTGCCAGGAAGAAGTCAAGAACGGCTGCACCCTGATGGAGAAGCTGGGGGGCAGCGTCAGTTCTCCCTGTAAGGCAAGCCTTCATGAGCCCCCTGCCGCCCCTGCCTGCAGTACCTGGCAGCCCCAGACCTGCCCTCAGAGGTTCCAGGCTGCCCGCTCCCTGCCAGAACTGAGGGGTTGGAGGGATTCCAGCACGGGGAGTCAATCTCTTCACTGCAGTTGGCAAACAGACCCTGTACTTCATGGACTTTGCTCCTTCCTCGTGCCTGATGGTTCAGGCCTTTCTAACCCATTCGTGACCTTCTGCTTGCTCTTGATTTGAAGCAGACCAAGTGCCCCCATCACCACATCTGTTTAGGCAGAGTCTGTACTTTTTGCACTGACACCCCTACCTGCCACTGAGTTCTCCCCCTTCCCACGTTGCCAACTTCTAACCACAATAGTGATTCTGTGCTCATCTGTTTGGATCTCGTAGAAAGGGAATATTGGGCAAAGGACTCCTTCCTGATCGAACTGGTTTCTCCTCTCCTTTTCCCTGGTTGCAGCTACTCATGAAAGCAAGGTCAGGGGAACTTCAATTAAAAAGCACTACGATTTTTTTCAAAAACCAATCATGGTCAGGTGGCTGTGCAGGGCCACAGTGATCGGTTTGGAGATGGGCATAAGACCTTAGATGACCCAGTCAGAGGTTCACGGTTTTTAATTAATCATTTGAGACTTCTTTTTCTGCTAGAAATGAACAAGGAAGCATGCTCTCGGAGGCTTCTGAAGTCCTCTTGCTCCTTTGAGGAGAACCAGCCTTAAGATGAACTTGACATGGAAAGCAGAGAAGAGAGATAAAAAGCAAGCCAGGCCTTTTGTGACATGGTTGAGTCACTACGTATATCCATCCCCACCTGAAATCTATCCAGAGCCTGCTCCGTTCCACAAGCCAATAAACTCCCCTTTATTGTGTATGCCAGTTTGGACCGTGTTTTCTGTTACTTGCCACCAAGCACATCCTGACTGATAAAAGCAAGCTTTCCAAGTAAACGCTGTCTGTCCACAGACCGCAGGCTGAATGCTCTCACCACCTGGGATCTCAGAACACAGGAAATAGTCACCCCAGACAATCTGCAAACCATTTGAGGCTGGGGATGGGGGTGGGGGAGGGGTTACATCATGTTCGAAGAGAGGAAAGGCCACTTTCAGAGCACATGCTGTCCAAAATCCTGGCGAGGGAGGTCCCAGGAGCTGTCAGAGCAGCCAGCGGCACCTGGCATCACGTGAGCTCAGCTGCCCCCACAGCAGGGAGGGCCGGGCGATCTTCCTGAAACGGGCTCTGGCAACCTGCTTCTAGACGCCAGAGTGTTTGTGGTTGTAGTCACCAGTTGCTGGAAGCACAGGGTGGAAACTGATTCTGAATGCGGACTCTTCACAAACACCAACATCCTGCTTTGACGTCGGTTACTGACAATCCCTTACCGATTTGTGCTCCTTTCGAGACAATCGAAGCTTGTGGTGAGCAGGCTGGGCTGGGGAGCCGGACTACCCGTGCTTCCTTCCGGGCTCTGCTGGGGCCGCTGCAGGCAGAGGAGCCTCGGGGCTGGGGCCAGCCGGCAGCTATGGACCCTGCCTCCCAGTCTCAGCAAACCCTCTGCACCAGGTAATCACTGGAGGTCTTAGAGGATTGTCGTATGGTGGGCTTCCTGGGGCTGTTCTCCCCCAATTGTCTTGACTGTCATCGAGTTTGGGAGGAATCCACTCTGGTGACCAGGAACATCTGCAGCCCCCAGCCAGACTGCAGGAGTTTGAATCTTAGAGCCGCCACCTGCAGTCCCTGCGAGTTACTAAACCCCTCTGGGCCTCAGTTTCCTCCTCTGTGAGATAAGAAAATGGAGATAAGAAAAAAGTGTCTCTCTCTTAGAGCTGCTTAGAGGATAAATGAGTCACTACAGTCTTAGGACAGGGCCTGGCATCAGTGCGTATTAGCTACTAAATTGTCTGTAACTTGCTAAAAAGCAATAACATGGAGATACCAAAGGGGAGAGGAGTTGGGAGGGAAGAAGTCATATACAAAGCAGAGAGTGCCATTTAGTGTCTGACCAAAAGAGAACGGTTGGGGTTCCCTTCATTAGGGCCCAATCTGCTCCCTCCAGCCAGGGTGGGGTTTCTGGGCCGGAACCCACAGGGAGGAAGGGGAAGCCCAGCCGCCTCCTTCCGGTTGCAGCCTCCTCCGCGGCCGCTGGCGGGGTGGTTCTTCCTTTCTGCTGCATTCATCTTACTCCCCACAGTAACAACCGCCCCTCACTTTTTAACTTCACTGTAAGTTTACGGAGCCCACTCGCATCTCTCTCTATTCACCCTCCCAGTTCACAGATGGGGAGAACCGGGTTTGGGCTTCCCATCCAGCGTCCACGATCCAAAAAAACGTGCAAACATCGTGGGTCCTTTTTCTTCCCTTCTTTATATTTTTCATGTTAATACCTTCTAAAAGTAAAGAATGTAAAGAATGTATTGCTACATTTTTTCTTCTGTTTTAATAATAATAATAGATAATTCCCATTGAGCAGTAACTGTGCCAGGCAGGGTTTTACAAACCTCGTATGTATTAAGCCACTCACAACACTTCAGCTACCACTCTTCGCCTTGTGTAGATAACAGCAGCGAGGCCCAGTGGTTAGGTTCAAACTCAGTTTGGTTCTAGAACCAACACATTTCACAACGATGCTAGTCTCCATGTTCATGGTAGAATTTAATTACAACAGCAAAGCAAAAAGATGAAAAAAATTAAAATTATAATCCCAACATACAGGTATAACTACTGTTAACATTCGGTGAACATTACTGGGCACAAATCAGGCAGGAGAGGGGGGTGGAAGGGAGGGGCAGATGTCTGAATTATTGGGGCACCTTTTCGAATACACATATGCTAGAGGCGTTCTACCCAAGCATGAGGATTTGGGAAAAAAGGGATTTAGGTGATACTTCCCTGGCTGGTGTGGCTCAGTGGACTGAGTGCCGGCCTGCTAACCAAGCAGTCACTAGTTCAATTCCCAATCAGGGCACATGCCTGGGTTGCAAGCCAGGTCCCCAGTGGGGGGCACATAAGAGACAATCACACACTGATATTTCTCTCCCTCTTTCTCCATTCCTTCCCCTCTCTCTAGAAATAAATAAATAAAATCTTGAAAAAGGAAAAGAATTCAGGCAATACTAATAAACAGCCTCCCCTTCCTCCTTCCTCGTTCCCACAGCTCCACCCCGTCTCAGCTGAAAGGTACTAGTGTACCTTTCCAATCCTTTTTCTATGCATAGCTGCATATGTGTACACATAAGTACACAGTTATAGATGGCAAATCAAACACTAATAAATGGCAGTGACAGAAAAAAAGCACAGCAAGCAGGAGATGCCAGCACAGAGTATGATAAAATTCCTAACTCCTCCAGATTCCTGCCGTTTGTCCCTCAAAGGCACATTAGTAAGACAAATACCAGTTTCCGGGGTGGAACCTGATAGGGTTTTTCAGCATCCATAGCCCTTCTGGTCAGTTTGTTGTTTTGTGATTTGGCAGGCAGGAGTGGCCAAGCTATTCTCCTGGCCAGGCTCTCCCAGGGGCCTTGTGTCTGGGCTGGGCTGTGATTTACAGTCTTCCAGACACAGCCCCTTGCCAGGGTGCTGGACAAGTGCCTGTGCTCACATTATCCCCATTCGGGCTGGCACAGGAGGCCTGGGGCAAACCCACCAGGATGCCTGGGGTGTTCAGGAAGGAGTGAGAAGCTGAGCCAAGGAAGGGAGAGCCAGGACCGGGAACTTCCTGTCTCTGCTCCCTGCGATGGCCCGACACAGCACCTGTGACAGCCCCAGGTGCCGGTTTACTTTCCTGGCCCCTCCGTGGGCCCAGAGCTCCTGAAGGGCAGGAAGCAGGTCTGGTTATTTTGTCTTTCTTCCTCTTTGTGTCTCGATGGCCTGGCATGGCTCCTGGAACAGAGAGAGAGAGCAGCTTCTTGTCGGGATGAATAATAGGTATAACCATAGCTAACTTCAAGGGGCTGCTCCGCTCCTCAAAGACAGATGGATAAGACAGAAGTTTCCCTTCCAGCCTTCACAACAACCCCATAAGGGTGAGTCTAGACTCTATTATCCCACCAAGGCCCCCACCCACACCATTGTAGAGCTGAGGAAATGCGGCAGAGAGAGGTTGAGTAACTTGCCCAAGGTCATACAGATAAGTGGCTGGCTGCAATCAAACCCAGGAAGCTGAGCCTCCGAGTTCAAATTCTTATTCCCTACTCTATGCTACCCCCGCAACCCTTCTGTCTCTTCCCCCCAACCCCCGCCCTTCTCTCTCTTCCCATTCAATTGTCATAGTGATCGCCTTAAGGTTTCGCTTTATCATGTCACTCCCCCGATCAAGAACTTTCGAGGCCCGACTCCCCAGGGTGTGTACAAAGCTTCTTATACTTGTCCCCACTCACCTTACCCTGGGACGTCACTTAACCTCTCTCCTACTTATGCACCTGAACTGTAGAAGGAGGGTGGTAGTAGCACCCACGTCACACGGCACTTAGAGGACTCAACAGTCCTCTACCAGGGAACCGCTTACAAACTGGGGCCAAGGAATGGGAACTTGTTCTATACAGGGCCAGATGCTAAATATTTTCGGCTTCATGGGCCCTACGGTCTCTGTCACGTCTAGTCAGCTCTGTTGCTGTCGTGGGAGGGTGGGCACAGACCACAAGGAGGAGACTGGGTGTGGCAGTGTGCCAGTTCAACCTTCTTCACGGACACTGACCTTGGAATTCCAAATGACGTTCGTGTGTCCTGAAATATGCCTCGTTTTACTCACCCCCCCAACATTTAAAAAGGTAGAAAACTTTCTTTGCTTGTGGACAGTGCAAAAACAGGTGCTGGGCTCGACGGGGCCCTCGGGCTGCAGTTTGCTGATTCTGACTTCAGAACCCTGTCTGGCACAGTAGAAGAGCTTAACAAGTCCAAGAGAAACAGTGCGAAGCAAGGAGACACAGTAGGAATTTATAAGGCGCTCGGTGAGGGTGACAGGCTGGAGATGTGTGCATGGAAGGGACGGGCCAGACACAAGAGACCGAGTTGAGGAACCCCTATCTGCTGAGCGCTGACTGGCCAGGCACCGTTGTCTACATAGCTTCCCATTCCACCCTCACACTGACCCTGAGCCTTCCTATTTACAGAGAAGATGAATACGGCTCAGAGAGGTTAAGTAACATGCCCAGAGTTGCACAGCTTTTAAGGGTTAGGGTCAAAATTTGAACCTGGTTTTTACAGAACACCAAAGACTGCTTTTTAATTTTTTTTTTTTACTTTTAGAGAGAGGGGAAGGGAAGGAGAAAGAGTGGGAGAGAAACATCAATGTGTGGTTGCCTCTCATATGTCCCCTATTGGAGACCTGGCCCACAACCCAGGCATGTGCCCTGACTGGGAACCGAACCGGTGACCCTCTGCTTCACAGGCCCGTGTTCAACCCACTGAGCTACACCAGCCAGGGCTGTGCTGTTTTGTACTGTATCAGTGTGTACTGAATGCATATTTATTGAGAAGCTATGTTGTGCAAGGTGCTGAGCTAGGTCTGGTAACTCAGGGATATAAAAAATTTAGCTTTGACCAAATAAAGTGTATAGGCAACTAAGCAATCGTAGCTCAGGGTGAAAACTCCTATGATAAGAACACACGGAAGGGTTCAGTGTCGAAGGTTCTAATCCATACCTGGGAAGCCTGAGAAGGCTTCCCAGAGGAAGCAATGTCTAAGCTGAGAATGCAGGCAAATGGGGAAAGACCCAGGAAAGCCTGAAATGGAATAATAACACTAAGCTACAATTTCTTGCCTGCTAACCAGGTTGTCGGCTAGTGCCCCCAACCCCTGAGAAATCTGGTTCTGAGATCCACAGCCTTTGATGGCCTAACCCCCTTCCCAGGAGGGCCTCATGTCTTCTGTCCTTGGATGTTCCTGCTTCCACATCTCTCGTCCTGAAATGCTGTCGGAGTTTTGCCCCACAGCTCCTTGGAGACATGACTCAACCCCTACTCTGTTTTCCTCATTACTTACTTCAAGTATTCCATGAGTTTAGTAAACCTGACCCACAGTTCTGGTGGAAGGAGGGCGTGCTCTCGGGGAGGGGTCACCTCTGGGGCGCAGGATTTCCGCCCTCTCCTGGTCCCCCACTTCCTCCGGGAGTTGCAAACAAAACCCTCCCTTTGTCTTGCTGGGAGTGTCCACCTCTGGCCTTACGGATCTTGGTTTCTACTTAGCAACGTCTTTTCTCAACAGAGAAAGCTCTACCTTCCTAAAAGGAATTCTGGTGAACAACAGGATCTCTTTACACACATGCAGTATCTCATTTGATCCTCCTAGCATGCCTCCAGAATGGCTGTCCTTGCCCCCACTCCACAAATGAGGAAACCGAGTAACTAGCCCAGGTGATGGTGTGGAGAGTCAAGCATAGAACGGCCTGAATCCAAAATCTCCTTTCTCAACCACTCTCAACTCTGCTTTCCAGTCAGTACCACTCAGATTGGATCTGGGGAAGGGAAGGAAAGGGATGGTCTGGAAGAGAGGGCAGGGAAGATGAACAGAGTCAGACCCTGGGTCCATCACAGACTGTTATTTTCACCAGAGGTGCTGGTCATGG